TCCCCCGTCCTGCGCACACCGGGTACAGTGCGCCCAGGAGCCGAGGCCCTCCGGCTGCAGCACGCTTCCCTTCCGGTGGAGAGGGGGGGGGTAACAACCGTGCAAAAGTGCCCGCACCGGCGGTGGCGCCGGTCACGTGACCGAGAGACGCATACTCGCCGGGCCCATCTTTGTTCAGGGCAAAAGGGGAGCGTCGTCCGTCGCCGTTGCTATGGTGGCGAGTTACCCCCGCCCACTTCAGTGGCAAGCTTGCGAATAGCTTAATGGGAGTGGCTGGCACAGTGCAGGGAGGGGGGCGGTGATGTGCTGCCAAGTTGTGGGTGTGTCGTCGAGCTTGGCACCCAGATGTTCTGCCATGAAGGGGGGCGTGGTGGGGTCAGGTTCAGCACCCAGGTCAGCTGTGCCATCACTTGAACAGGGAGCATGGGGGAGATCTGTCATCATTTAAAGCTGGGGCGGGCAATACCGCCCCTCCAGCTTTGCTTTAACTACATATCCCATCATGCATCTGCCTTTGGGAGTCATGCCTATGGCTGTCAGAGTCTTGCAATGCCTCATGAGACTTGTAGTTCTACAACAGCTGGAGCTGCCCACACCTTATTTAAAGGGTATACCTATACAAAACCTTGAGGCTAGGATCACACCTAGGTGATATTGCGCAAAACACAGATTCCCTTTGAAGTCAATGGGGCCTGTTCACACCTTTGCGTAGCATCGCGCGGCCGAAATCGCCATTCGCGCAGAAAGGTGCAGGAGCTATTTTGGGGGGTTGCCGCGCCGTTGTGGTCCCATAGACATTTCTATGCATTGAAAAACAGCTAGTTTTTCGTGCGGTCTTCAAAGCAAAGTAAAAAATGTGTGGCAACCACGCAAAAACAGCTCATCGGCTCAATCGCCTAGGTGTGAACCTAGCCTCATATAGTTTTGGTAAGTGTGTGTGGGGAAGGGTTAGACTTTTCCTCAAGTTTTTTTTTTGCTTCCTGTGTCCCCAGTGGAGAGATTCACCCTTCTATCGATTTTTCACCAAGAGATAAGTGGGGGGAAATCTAAAATTTGACAGTTCTCCCTGGAACAAAAAGTGCTGGTGGCCAAATCCGAAATAGCATAAAAATTTGTTTTGTTTGACAAAACGAATGAAAATATGTTTTAGTTTCCGTTCATTATTGTCCGAGACAAATTCTTAGTCTTTGCACATGTCTAATAATATGTGTGCGTGTGGGGGGTATATTTATATTTTTACTATTATTTTTTATTTTTTTTACTGTTGGGGTGGCGTTTCTGGGAAATATCAGAGGTCTAAACAGACCCCTGACATTTCCCTTTTGAAATAGAAAAAGTAATTGAGGACACCGTCCCCAATCTCTTTCTACAGCCTCTGTTCTAAATGAATGGAAAGCACTCAGCACATAGGCTTCCCATTCATTCAGAAAATGGTGTTAGTAAATATTTTACTATCATCCAGTTATCAATGGGTAGAAGTTTCTATAGTGAGTGCTTCCACCTATTAAGAAACTCATGAATGAACAGGAAGTGATGTAAAGCCCTTCCTGTTTATCCATAACTGGGGACACACATTACTGTGTGATCACTCCAGTGTTTGCAAAAAGGATTGGTAAATATCTGTGATCCTCCGCCATCCTGAGTGGTGAAACCAGCTGAAGGGGGCGGAGGAGGGAGCGCTGTCACTTTAGGATGGCTGAGCGGTTGTCAGATCCTGGCCGAGCAGCTCTCTCTCCTCACCTTCTCGGCCATCCTGTATGACAGCTCCCCCCCCCCCCCCCGACGGCTGCAGTACTCCATTTCTCGGAGGATCCTTGCTGCGCTGCAGAGAAACAGGGATCCGAGGAGAAGTTGGAGTCTATGCCACCGCTCTTCTCCCTGATGCCCCTGTTGCCATGGCGCCCCTTGCTCGCCATGGTAACAGGGGAGAGGTGACGCAGCTAGGCCGGCCCTGGCTGCTCCCCCCTCTCAGCTGCGCCTGAGGTGAGTGCGTCACTAGCCTCATGGTAGCTACAGCCCTGGTCCCAGGATCGCCCAGGTGTGCACCCCTGAGCTACAAGCCATGAACGCACCATTTCATAGGCCGAGCCATGGCTGATTTGCAAATGATTTGCCACATAATCCACTGTCAGTAGTCTGACAGACAGTCTGACATGTAAGCTCAATGTTGTCATCAGTTGTGAACAGGGGTCCGGCTCCTTCCTGATGGCTAACACTTGTGCGACCTTCTTTGAACATCTCTATCCATTCATATAAACTTCTTCACAACAAAACACTCTCTCCATACTGCGCACAAAGTCTTCAATAAATAACGGCACCAGGCACACCCTCAGGGCATGTTCACACCAGCCACAGTGCATTCTTCCCCCAATTGGGGCCGCAACGCACTGGATCGCATTCCGGCCAGCTCACTTTGTTTTGCGGCGGGAGGGGGCGTGGAGGAGCATTGAAGTCAAGAGCACTGCAGCCATGCCCTCCGGCCGCAATGCAATCGCCCGCAACCGAATGCGTGGCACATCCAGTCTGGTGCAGTCAGAAAAAATGCTGCAAGCACTATTTTTCTGACCGGAACGCAGGCACTGATGTACCACGCGTTCAGGTGCGGGCGATCGCATTGCGGCCGGAGGGCGTAGCTGCGGTGCCATTGACTTTAATGCACCGCCACGCCCCCTCCCGCCCCAAAACAAAGTGAGCCGTGAATGTCATTCGTGTCTGTGAGCAGAGGTGTCATATGAAAAGTATTATGACACCTCTGCTCACAGACCCGAATGGCATACCAGAGCTCACGAATAGCATTGGGGAGCTCCCGAATGCTATGTGGTATACTATTTGACAGCTGACAATATCAAATGGGCGGAGCGAGGCTCACTCCGCCGATCTGTTTAATTTTGGGCAGGAGATGTCATTTTGCTGCGAGTTTTTGTCGGGTTCGCTGACGGTCGTCGTGCCGCAGGACTTTTTTTTATTTCGGCGGGTCGTCAGGAGTCGTGCATCGTGATTGACGCTGGACCACATCGATGGAGCCATTTTGACACCCTCCCAAGGGCACGTGGCCTGGTAAGGCGCAGGGAGGGAGGGCAGTGCTCGATCGTCCCCCCCTCTTTCCTGCCCTGCCGGGCCTGTGCTCGGATCAGGGGTCTGGTAGTGGTAGAAATCTTAGGGGGGACCCCACATTCTTTTCCCATTTTTTGGGGCTGGAATTCCCCCTTAAAATTCCTACCAGACCTAAAGCGCCTGGTATGGATTTTGGAGGGAACCCCACGAGTGCAGACTGTAAAAAAAAAAAAAGTGTTTTTTTTTCTCTAATGTCACTTTGCTGCAACGAAATTTCGTCCTCAAACGAAAGTTCGTACAGGCTACCGCTAACGGATTTCGTCCGAATCCCGAAAAATGAAATAACGCAAAATCCGAATGAAAGCTAAACGAAACTAAACAAATAGTCAGCACCAATTCAGGGATGATTTTAGGATCTACATCCGAGCATTTTTTAGATTTAAAGTGATATTAAAGCCAATTTTTTTTTTTAAATGTCATCTTTAAGGAGACCCTCCTTTGCTGGAGACTGTTGTTTTTTTTTTTTTAAAGTTCTTCATTCCTCGTCTTCTAGTGGGTCCCCACCATGCTCTTCCCCCCGCCCCTGCACAGGTGCCACCATCTTTCCAATGGAGGCACACGTGCGCGCTCGTGCCCGCAGCGGCTTTGTGCGTCCATAGACACTCACAGCCATGTGGCAGGCCACGCCCCTTCCCTCTTTGATTGATGGCAGAAGGAGCCTATGGCCCCTCTGCCATCAGTATCCTCCCCCTGCAACCCAGAAGTTCGCTTCGGGACCGGCGGTGGGGACGAGCGCAGCTGACAGGTAAGCGTGAGGGAGACTGGGGGGTGGGTGAGTGACTGGGGTAGAAAAAAGGTACTGGGCTGTTTTTACCCTAATGCAGAGAATGCATTAAGGTAAAAAACGCCCAGAACTTAATACTACTTTAACTCCTGAGTTTAGTGTCACTTTAAACTCTCAAACTTTTTTTCAATAATAAATCCAGATAGAACAAACTGTCACTCACGGCTCCCTGAAGGGATTCCCCGCTCCGATCCTCCAGCCCTGACTGGCGGGACGGACGGGGGAGGGGGCGGGTACAGCTGGCTCTGCCTCTAGATGTAATGTCGGGATCCTCCCGGCTGCGGTGATCTCAGTATACCGCGAGATGTAGCTTGCGATATACTGAGCTTTAGGTCATGCGAGGACGCTAGTATATGTCCTCCCGTGACCTTTAGGAGAGCTATGGGAAAAAACACTTACCCCATAGTTCTCCTTTAAGGCCCCATTCACATTGAGCGGTTCGCAAATCGCGCGATTGTCACGCGATTTGCATTTTGCGCGATATCGCGCGATTTGTCGCCCGATATCGCGCAAATGCTTGCATTGAGCACGCTTGAATCGGCTAAATCCGCTCCAAAAAGGGTCCTGCTGTAGCGACGCACGACCCGCGACAGCAGGACCCTTTGCCCCATTGAGAAGCATTGGTGAGCGATATCGCGCGGTTAAATTGCCGCAATATCGTGGGAATTACCGCGCGATAAATCACTCAATGTGAACGGGGCCTAAGACTGAATCCGATTTACTCTTTTTAGGGTATTAGATAATGTTCAAAAAGACAACTTAAATATCAGAAAATATTATTTCAAACATTTAAAAACATTCCACGTTTATTATTCATGACTTTTGTGTGAATGCTGATACATTTGCAAAGCAATGTTGTCTTTTATAAATAGCCCCTTTTGCATCTGTAGGGAAAACAGTTTTTTCAACATTGTCGGTACTTTTTTCTTTATATAGTAAAAAATAAAAAAACCCAGAGGTGATTTAATACCAATAAAAGAAAGATCTATCTGTTCTGAAAAAAATGATATAAAATGAATTTCAGTATGGCGTTGCATGACTGAATAAATGTCACTGCTGACTACTGAAAATTGGCCTGGACAGGAAGGATGTTTAACACCCCTGGTTTTCGAGTGGTTAAAGAGAACACATGCAAGTTTATTATTATATTATGTTATATTATATTGTAAAAAAAACTGGGAAAATAAAATTTAGAAATGTGAGATGCTGTATTGAGACCAATCAGATGTTATATTTTGTTCTTTGGAAAATGAAACTAAAATATATAATAAAAAATATAAAAATATATAACAATAAAGTATATAAAAGCAATGTTTAGGTTGCATTGCTCTTCAAACTTTGCCTTTAGAATGGAGTTGGGAGAGTAAAGCAAACCCTGCAATGATTTTGTTATGAGCTCCCATTACTGTTACTTCCCTGCAGGTGGCGCTATTGTACAATTAATTGCTCATCTCTGATACAGGCAACCATCCTTCAAGACTGCATTGCTGTACCAATGTTGAAGGTAGGTGTAATTCCATGAATTGGCCACTAGGTGGCGACCCAGAATTTAGCATGTAAATATTGCCAGTCTTATAGGAGGGATGGAGTTGAGTGCACAGACGTGTGCCTTAGGCAAAGAGCGCCAGGTAATCAGTTGGATGAGATGGAGCTAGCTGGTTGGCAGTATTAACACCAGCAGAAGCCAATAATGCAGTCAGCTCAGTGATGTAGAGCATCAGCGTGCAAATGGAAACTTCACAACTCATCTGGATAAAATAAAAAAAAACACAGATCCCTGTTCTGGATTACCCCGTGCCAGACTGCTAGCATCATCTTCTGTCTGTGACTACAATCAACCTTCCACATTGTTACTGTACAGGTGAGAATGTCAGTTTGCTATTCTAAATCGGATTACTGCTGACTAATAAAATGATGTCAATGCACACAGAAAATTTAGCAAATGTTATTTTATTGTAAAATTTAGTGATAAAACAAAAAAAATGTTGTGAGTAGACTATATCCTTTTCAAAATGTAATTATCTTACCAGTCAATTTCTTTGGCATTAGGTAGAAATTATTGTAACAGCACCTTTGTGAAATCCGTAAAATTGTCATTTAGATTTCTCAGATAAGTGGTCCTCTCCAAGTGGCTTGGGAGACCCATGTGGCTCTCATGTGTTCTGAATGTTGCTTGTAGCAGTCTGCTATATACCTGCATATCCAGATACTTGCATTATCACATGCTTCTCATACGCAGAGGTTACCCAACGTATATAATTCAAATGTTTAACATTGCTATTTTGTTCTTTGCTGTTGCAATCGTGCGCACTTAAAGCTCAAAAGGGCACTTGACCTCTGTCAAAGTCTGCATTCTTCTGTGCAGCTATGGAGCCCAGGGATAAAACAGAAGCTGCCACAGTTGCTCAGAAAAAGCTGCTTGCCTGTAATAAGTAATAGTGATTTCTATATGCTGCTTGACTGTGCTGCTGTAATTGCAAGAATGAGTTAATCTGTGCATAGGTTATACAGTACCCAAAATTACACTCCGGATACAGAATGCTATTAAATTCATTCTGATGTGTCATCATTTTTTTCCCCATACATGATGCAGATGTTGTGTACAGACTTGTCATCTATAAATATCCAATAGGATAATCCTCAGGTTATCCTAGGTCCTGCCTAATGTTCCCTCCTGCAGTCTCGCCTCCTTGGAATCTATCTCACGCTTAATCCAAAAGCGCAAGGACTTCTTTTTTTTTGTGTGTGTCCTTTAAATAGCTCAGCCTGAATTTATAGATCTGAAGCAACATCGAAATACCAACACGAGAGACAAAACATGATTGTAATACCTGCTTTACCTGTCAGTTTATCTAGTCCAGTTTGAGACAGTCTTTACTGCCTCAGACCAGACTCAACGGGTGGATAGGAAAAGCACATTCAGTTTATACTTAGATTATCTTTATGAGTTGTGCGCAACACAGATCTCATCTAGATTATACCTACTGCTCTCTTCAACAGGTGAGATAACAGCTTGCTCTGTGTTAACTTAATTTGTCCCCTTTAATTTTGTATAAACGTAATGTGCCCCCTTTAATTTTGTAATAGCTTATGGTGGCCCCTTCAATTTTGTAATAGCTTAATGTGGCCACTTTTATTTTTAATAATTAAATGTGGCCCCTGTAATCTTTTTAATAACTTAATGTGACCCCTTTATTTTTTTAATAACCTTACATGGCCCTACTAGAGAATGTTCAATAGTTGCCTATATTCCTATGTTTGTAAAGAATGTACATAAACATATACAGTATATATCCATCATAGATGATATAGTTATATATTTATATTTGCATGTTTGTATACAAATATAGAAAGATGCATTGATAAGTATCCTCTTCTTAGAATTTGGAGAAGACAGAACTGACTCATGTGTTCCTATATGTTCAGTTCTTAATTTCTTCCTGGAAATATTAGCATGCTTCCTAGAATATTACATTATATTATTCAGCAGAAGCTCCCTATACAAAGCACAATGCAGGGACCTCTCCCAGATGTAGCCAGTATTAGCAAACATGATTGCCTATGAATAGTCACACTACACAGGTCATGTGTGTTGCTGGTATCACTTTTTGGTTTATGGAGGACTCTAACCAGAATCATTCATTTAATGGATCATTGAACCTAAAAGCCTAATAACCTTCACGTAAAAAAATAAATCCATTTGTATTTACAATAAGGTATGAAGATATCATATCAAAACGTTAGCTATTTGTCATTGACATGTTATTTACTTAGAATTAAAGGGTAGTTGAGTTTGAATGTTGCTAAAGTAGTCTGAGAAGAAAAAGTTGGATCCACCGAGAGGCTTTTGGTCACTTCTTACACATCAAACCTATAGAAAATCAACAGCAGGATCTTCCATAGGTATAGTGTTTATAAATGTAACCAACTCTATTCTTTATTCAAACCAATAAAGTCCTCCAACACACAACACCATGGGGAACATTTATCAATTTATGTCACATACCTGATTTCTAGTGCATACAGACACAGATTTATTATCCTAGTTTATGTTTCATTCCTAAATGCCTTCATAAGGCGAATTGTCTCAAAAATGGCTCTAAGTTGTCTCTGTCTCCAAATTGTTGCAAGCTTGCTGGGAACCTCCTGAAGGACAGCTGACTTGAGGGTATGAAGCTGAATTATCTTTACAATACTTTAGGAAGTGCTCAGGAGGACTTCTAGAATGTGCACCGGTTTGAAGGCCTTTTAGTGTTGCAAATGCTAGACAAAGTTACTGCCCAGTTGTGACATTAATATGTCACAAGAAAACTTAAAAAAGGCAGGAGGTAAATCTTAAAAATGCTTTAAATGAACTTAACTATCAACAAAAAATGTATCTTATTTGTGTAACACTCAGCTGTAGATCCTCAAATCATCTCTGAATTGGTGCTGACACTGTCCTTCCTTCCGGAGGGTGGCTACTTTTGTTCCCCATGGTCCCCGTGTGTGTTGTCAAGTAGCCACAGCTCCAAGCTCCCTACCATTAATGACTACAATCTCATATTTAGTTACTACTTTGTATTGAGATTATACTCTAGCTCCCATGAATTATAGACTATAATCTCAATACAAAGTAGCTAACTAAATATGAGATTGTAGTCCATCATGGTAGGGAGCTTGGAGCTGTGGCTACTTGACAACACATACAGGGACGATGGGGAACAAAAGAAGCCACCCTCCAGAAGGAAGGACAGTGTCACAAACTCATTCCTAAGTTTCCCCCATGTATATCTCAATGGCAAGTTCTGACATCAGAGACACACTTTTGTAACTATTTTTATCATAAGAGGTTGACTAAAGAGTTACATTTTCCACTTTTTAACTATTATTTTTCATTCCTCTGCTTATGATTGAGTGTTTACAGTAAACATAGATTCACTAGTCTAATTGAAAAATGTGCTCCGTTAGTAAATCATTCTCTTAGTGTTGGCAGATCATGTTGAGACTTGCAGTTCTGCAGCACCTGAGTATGGTAAAAGAAATTCAGAGGTTCACCTAATCTCTGCTCTCCTCAAAGTCTATATCAGAGATTCCAAACTTGTTTACACTGAGAACCAAAGTGTCACAGTATACCTGTTTTGCTACACTAGGTGTCAGTTTGGCATTTTTCTGGGAACCCCAAATATTCTGAGGATTAATATGTAGGAACCTCTTTGGAGTTCCAACCAACAACAAGCACAACGTCCTAAAAGTAGTTATACAACAAATAACTGCCGACTAACCTGGTATCAGGTGTAACGATCTTGTATGTCAAAATGTATGGTGAAATAGTTAGCATGTCCTAGCTGTCAACGTTCTAATGACCTGTTTTCTTGTTTTCTATGCCTATTAGATTCAACATGTCTAATGGGCCGAAGAAGAAAATTACCCAGAAGCTCAAGAAGACCCTTCCGGTCACAGGGCCACAAGCTCCCACCTTGTATGAGCTGATGCAATGGTATTGCTTGACCACCAACACCCACGGCTGCAGGAGGATAGTGGTATCTAAGGGTCGCTTAAGAAGATGGATATGGATTGCCCTGACTTTAATAGCAGTGGCCCTTATCTTCTGGCAATGTTCTTTGCTGCTTATGTCCTTCTACAGTGTGAGTGTCTCTATCACGGTTAACTACCAGAAACTGACCTTCCCAGCCATCACCGTCTGCAACATGAACCCATACAAGTAAGAAAATTGGGGCTTATTTTTGCGGGTAGGGGGTTGGTGACTTCCAGTTCGTCTGAACATTTTAGTTAGAATAATGCATCTTGGGTGCCAAACTGGTAACAAATTATCTGCTTAAGTCTATTGTATTTCCAGTCTATAGAGGCTAAAGTGATTAAAGGATTTTTAATCACTCAGTACCAAGAGATTAAAGCTCTAGCTGAATCTCACCTTTTAAAACGTTGATTTTAACATGCTTCAGACAAAGGATTAGTCAACAAGGTGTTAATCACAAGCTACTGAGGAATTAAATTCTCTTTTATAGGCTTCATTCACACAGCATGTAGAAACATGTTGAGAGAAAGTAGCAAAAATGCTTTTTGGTGCTTTAGTATTTCTATTTATGTGTTATTTGTACATTATTTAACATGTCAGTATCATTTTATGTATGTTTATATATTGCCATCATTTAAAATCTTAAGTTTGACCAACATTGCACCTACTTGTTTTCAGGTGCAGCAAAATGATTTAGATATAGATATTGTTAACCAGGGTTGTAGATTGGGTTTGGAAATTCCTAAGGCACCCCTGGACCCCTGAATGGAATTTGTGCAGGTCCTGTATCATAGCTTGTATTGTGTTATATCTTTTCTATCCCTTCTGTTTCACTTTTCCATTCTTTGGTTTCTTTCCTGCTACGTTCTCATAGCCATTGGTGCTCTGTATTTTTGCTGACAGTGGGCCCCCGAGAAGCAAGGCACCCATAAGGACATCCAGAACTATCTTGAAACTCCACTGCTTCCACCACACTTATATTTGAGTCCAAGACATACATTATCTTTATTTTTTGCTACAAAATAACAGTCATTACTGTCATAAACATGATTACACGGTTGAAATTAAAAATCAAATGCATCATCAGTGCTTAAAAAAAATAAAGTATTAAACATGAATTCAAAATTACATAAAGTGCACAGTGTGCCAAAAGCACATTGTGCATAGAATATATAATCTCACTGGCAATCATAAGGCAATGTTCCAGTTAGATGAAAAGAAATATGAATTGTGAAATACTGGTATACATGGAAACCCAGTAGTTAGTTTAAAACATTCCAGATGCTCCAACTGATCTACCTAACATAATGCTTTGTGGGGAAAATACATTTGCTAAAAAGGGGTAGTAGAATGAAAGTCTCAAAGCCAAAGTTTAGTAAAATATGTATATTTATAATACTTGGGTTACAGCAATTAATGCAACATAGAACTGAGGCACATGGTGGAAGATTCAGGAGAGGACACATGCACTGGGTGCCACGGTCTAGCGGTGCCCCTATTGTTGACCTGCACATATAAACTACAATACGCCAAAAATATCTCACAACCAAAGTGCAGGAAGAATATATATGTTTCTAATATGCGGCACCTAGTAGAAGACCGCAGGCACAGGCACTGGGTGCAAGGGCCTAGTGATGACCCTGTTAACCTTGACATATAAACAGATAGTATACAGACTATAGGTCCCAACACAAGACAAGAACTTAATAGCCACGATTGTGAAACAGTAACATGACAATTGCTCCATTGGATCGCATACATCAAAGTATCAAAACCAAGAACTGTTAAATTTCTACAGCCCTGACCAGACAGAGTCTCTCATGTTTTATTACAAACAGAAGATATATTTTTTTAAATCATATTAAAACCCAGTAATGTTTAATGTACTTATGCAATGTAATGTTAAATGTTGTTAGCATTTGAATAATGGAGGTTGATGGGGCTACAACTCCAGGAGGTGTACCACTATGGCAAGAGGGGAACAGTACGAATTAAGGGAATGGCCACCATAGTTGTGGTTTCATTGGTGGTGTGAAGTGACACGATAGGTGGGGATGTCGGTGAGCTCCATATGCTTGATCTCTATGATGACTATAGGGGGAGGGCACTAATATACGTTGGTGTCTATACCTCACTGACTTCACCACTAAATCTCTGTTCCTTTGCTTGCAAGTTAAATTCTATAGCTTTTCAGCCAGCAAGGGAGTAACATGTAGCAGTAGGTGACTGACTAGTATGACATGGCCTTAAAACACAATGGTAACCATACCTATAGAGCCACACCACTTTTTGTCATGGTGCACCCCATGCAATGCCAATACCATATCACAAGCTGATCAACTTTTTCTAAAATGCTTTAAAATTGCATTCCAAAGGGGACATTGTCATGTTTTGTGATGGAGGAAAATGTGGGCAGCTATATTTTTTCACAGTGCACTGCAATGCAACACTGTAGTGGAAATAGGAATCACTTAGAACTACTCAGTATGCTTTTATCATTGAGAATTAGCCCTAAGGGGACAAGATGACTGGGAAATACATATCAGACCATTGATTATTTCTTTGTTCTGCAATTACTGTATCCAAATGCCAGTCCTACACTTTAACAGTACATGGTCTTATTTTCTAAATAAGGTATTATGGCAATGGTCAACTGACTGTTGACCTAATTTAATCAAGAGTTCTAAATGCTATTGTTTAGCATTTAGTAATCCATATTAACCAATAAGCATCCACTACCAATAGGTGGGTGCTGATTGGGTGAGGTGGGTTACTGCACTTAAGAATCACCACTTAATAATAAGAACTCTATTGCATTGGACCATTTATGTCACTTGGTGTAGACTAATGCAGGTCAATGTTGAACAGAATTCTTCTCATAGGTTACATTTTTTTAAATTATGTACAGGTCAGTGCCAAGAGAATATTACAAAATATATTGGAGAACTAAATGTAGAGCACTCACCACTCATTAATGACTTAATTGCCTATGAGAGGCTTTACAAGTGTGGTGTCATACATCCAGACAAGATGGGAAGTCTCTTAGAAAAGACAACATAAAGGGCTAATAAATCTCAATTACAAACTGGTTCTTTTGAAAAAGCAATTAATACTATTCGTTTCAAAAGATTTTTTCTTATAGGAAATGGAAAATAATTATTATAAAGTTGTAATAGTCCTAATCTTCTTGATTAATCTTCTTAATCAAGTGTCCGGTACCCTAAAATGGCTACAAAAAAACAAACAATAGGCAGCACAAAGCTGAAAGTACAACAAAAGGCACCTGTATGGCAATCTAAACAAATCCCAAATCCAGTAACTACTGCATGTGATGCATAAGTCTCATAAACAAAAAAGTTTATTTGCCTTTCATAAGTCAAGTCTTCCTTCATTTATGACTCACACTCCCTAACACTAGAGCTCACGGGCTGGTGGCCAGCATAATTTATCCTACCTCTTTAAGCCCATGTCTTCCTGGACCTGCTTACAACCCCCCCTCCCCACCACCCCCCCCCGCCTGTGACTGGATAGTGAAGTAGAAGCAGCATACTGATGAGCTCTTCTCTCTGTCACTCTGCACTCTCTTTCTATCAGCATGCCTCTTGTAAGCACATAAACAGTTTGGCTCCTTGTACTGCTTCTTCCTCTGACACTCCAGCCCTACTGTACAGGGGCTGCAAGAGTCTAATACCAGATCAGATTTAGGTACTACAATACTTGCCTTTAAATATACATTTAAAAGGTCTATCTATAAATTTTGTCACAAAAGGTCTACACAATGTTCACCCGGGATCCTTAAATTTTCCCCCCTCCCCCCAAAAAAATCACCCAAGATTTAAATGACTTTCACCCAAAATTCTCACGTTTTCCTCATTAGAATAAGTGGGAAGAGAGCCAAACACGCTTGCTCTTTCATCAAAAGAGTTTGGCGCCCTTCCAACTGATTCTAAAAAAAAAAAGTATGACTCTTGGGTGAAAGTCATGTGAATCTTGGGTGATTTTTAATGTTTTCTTAAAGACCTCCTAGTGATGTATTAATGATTACAGAGCTGCATTGATTTGTGTCTCTTTTTATTGACCTAAAGTTCAGCTTTATATATTTTAACACTGCATTTGTGGCTGTTTTACATAAAGGAAGTTTAAATATTGGATGCAGGTCTTTTACTTAAATGCATCAGGAGTATTTTACAAATACATTAATTATGTTGTTGTTTTTGTAAATAGTATGCAAATGTTTACAGAAAATAGATCACATACACCTTAAATTGTATGTATAGCCAATACTTTTTTTTAGTTTTTAATAAGTGGGTTGGGCTTAGAGACATACCTGACATGCATATAGATTTTCCCATATGGGCTGGGTATCATGTGCCCTGGGTGCCACTTTAGGAGGGGTGCCACTGGGCGTGTAGACACAGAACTTCCCCCTGGGGGGGGATCTCTGTGCCTTTGCGCCGGGTAGCAGAATATCTAGCTTCCCAGCTGACTAGAGGATGAGTTCTATGAAGTACAAGTACAGTTCTGCCATAGAATGCTACTCTAAAAAATGTATTCTAGTTCCGCTTTAACTGTCATTTCTGCAATCCAGATTTCTAAATATGAGTATTCTGATTTGTTTCCTTTCTCCTATGCTATTCATACATCAGTCCCTTGGTGCATGTTTGTTGTTTTCCGTGCGGCATTTTCATTGGGTAAAATAATAGGCTAAATTCCCAAAGCTAACACAGCAGGATAAGGATACTTATTTATAAAAAAAAATAACAGTTATTTTCAGTTAAGTCTAATGAGATATGAAAATGAGAGTCACATGGCTAAAATAAAGATACTCATTCTTTAGTCAGAGGTTTGTGAATTGAGTCTAATGTCAGTTGTGTGTGCTCGCGCCCGCACTCATACACATACTCACGTAATGCATACCAGAATAAGTACAACTACAGGAATGCATTGTACCTATTTTCTCGCTCTTATGGATAAAGAACAAACAACTACAGCACTCTGTTCCAGTGTTAATAATATCTATGTCCTGCAGGCACATAATAAACACCAAGACAGTGTGGGTGCTCTATATACCCTAAGGATACATTACAGATGAAGGAATGCATTGTTCCCTGTAATTCTCCTCAGGGCATACTTTATAGAAATTGTCTATTGTAATATCTACAGGAATGGACTTATCACTAGTTATCTCATGTAAGCTTATTTATATATTGCCATTATATTCTAAGACAGGTTAGGACCAGTAAAACAGGAAAATGTTCTGTGTAAAAGAGAGGATCCTAGCAGAGTGGTGTTGCTTTGGGCTCTATAGTTTGTGTGTTCTCAAACTCCAATAATGGCAATCCTGCATATAGCTCTTAATATCTTCATATCTGTATATTCTCCCCAGGCTGGATGGACCCAAGTGTTAAACCTAGTTTCATAATTGAATGAGATCTAAGTTTAAGGCTAGCCATACATGTTTGGATTTCTCTTGTTGAGCCTATGGGCTGAACAAGAGAAAATCACTCAATAATGGTTAGCGTGGGTGGGGGAATCTCCTCTGCTGACTATTGTAATCAAGCAGCCATGACACCCACAGCTGCGTGAATACCTGAACAGTGACTGCATCTGATGGAATGCAGTCAATATTCTGGCAGGAATGTTCACCTTGGCTCAATAAAAGTCCATTTAAAAATTGATTGAGTTGACAGGGTCTCCCGTGACACACGTTTTGGCCAATTCAGCAGGAATCAGTTAGCCATGTATGGGTAACTTTAGTCTTTCCTTTGTGCAGGGATACAATGCAGATCCTTCCATTGGCAGGGCCCGATTTCTGCATAGGCAACAGAGACCATGGCCTAGGTCCACACAACGGACTTCCATGGGTTTCATGTTTGAAACATTCCTATACTCGACAACGCCATCTAGGGGAACTAGTGACGTGTGAATGGCTTCCACCGGGCCTCATACTGGGCGTTACTTTTATACATTAAGCCCCATGTTACCGACTGTCAATAACACATTCCTAAGTATAATAATAGGTTCAAGAGTGTCACCTTCTCTATCAGAAAAATCTAGCTGGGTCCCAATTGTAGCAATCCCTGAACAGTTTGTGTAATTTTGTGGTGGAATAGTGTACAGGGTAATTACACTTTGTCCACTCTTGGTGAAGTCTGAACTCCCAGTACAAAATTCCTACAAAGAAGGTCAGCAGTTTTCTCTCTACTAGGTGTTCGTTCTTGATGTACTGACACAGAATAGTTAAAATGTCTCTTTTTCATATACCTTGTGTGTGTGTATATATAGACACTGCCTGGCCAATAAAAAGTCACCACCTGGATTTAGCTAAGCAAATAGGTAAGAATCTTCCATTGGATAAGGATCTTGCTTCAGTTGGTCAGGCCCAGGTTCAGCAACATTATGTCACCAAAAAATGAGGTCAGCTACCTACCTGAATATACTAAATGACCCTGATGGCATGGGCATATTTCAAGGTGACAATGCTAGGATTCCTCGGGCTCAAATTCTGAAAGAGTGGTTCAGGGAACATGAAACAGAATTTTGACACATGGATTGGCCATCAGAGAGTCCAGACCTTAACCCCATTGAAAATCTTTTGGATGTGCTGGATCAAAGATTTGGAACACTTCTGCAGCACACACCTACTGCATGCACCAGCTTTACATTGTGATGGTCTTGATAGTCTAGTCATCTTTTTTCATCTTATTCCTGTGTTTTGCAGGTACAGCACAATCAAAGACTATCTGACTAAGCTGGATTTAGAGACCAACCAAGCACTGAAGGACATATATGGTTTCTCCCCATCCCTTACTCGTAGACGCAGAGATGTACAGCCACAAGAGACTATTCCAGAAGAAAATTTATATTACCTCAAACAAATCAAGTTATATAAAATTGAGAGCATAAATGGAAGTGAGATAGTTGCTGATGAAATTCCCACAGGTCGACGCACCAGAATGAACGCCAGAGTGGTCAACCAGAATAAAGAGAGGACCGTTGGAAATATTGTGGGTTACAAGTTGGTAAGTCACCTAAATATTCTATGACATCTTTTACGTTATAAGGGGGCCTCCAACCCCAGTGTGATGATATTTTACCTTGTATTTTAGTTTGTTTCTAATTAAAGTTTCATGAAAATCTACACCAGGGGTAGCCAAACTCCGGCCCCCCAGCTGTCGTGAAACTACCCATGATGCATCTCTCTCCGGGAGTTGAGAATCTTGAAATACCATTTGTAGTTCCACCACAGCTGGAGCGCCGGAGTTTGACTACCCCTGATCTCCAAACTACCCATGATGATGGTAGTACACGTTATAAGTAATTCAAACCCAGTTATTGATTATATTAACTAGAGATGCACCGATACCAAGTACCTTACTCGGTACAAGTACTAGTACAAGTACAGATACCTTTTGAGCTCCAAGACTAGACTAGAGAAAAATTAAAAAGTTAGGAGGCAGCTGTCATTTGTGAGGAGCACACGGAGCTCCTGGGATTTGTACATCTCTGTTTTAATGTATGATTTTATTTTTATAAATATAAATAAAGGGATGCACAGATACCATTTTTGCAAGTACAAGTGCTGATACTTGCCCAAGTACTTACAAGTACGAGTACTGATACATTTTTGTTTATTGTCATGTGACAGTTTTCCTAAAACAATACAGACTAATGATTTCAGGACAGTGGTGGAGCGCCTGAGCTAGGTCCCAGCTGCAACCGCTGCAACCCTGGTAGTTCTCATGAAAATGTCAAGTATCGGCAATGGTACTTGAAAAGTATCGGTGCATCCCTAATATTAACCATCTCGGCACTGCCTATTGTACATGTACAGTGGCACAGAATGTACTCTGCACATATTTAGTTTGAAAGCTAAGCGTATGGATCATTTAAAATTGTCTATGTGGCCAAATCTTTTCTGGCATTGTAATTTGTATTGGTAGGGATTATGTTACTTGACTGATGAACTTGACAAACATGTCTATTAATTCAGAATCATTTCTCTTTATCGTCACGCTCTAGTGTGATCCAAACAATAGCTCAGATTGCACAGTGTTCACTTTCAGCTCAGCTATCAATGCCATCCAGGAGTGGTACAGATTACATTATACAAACATCTTGGTGAAGATTCCTACAGAAAAGAAGATTGAAATGGGTTACTCTGCTGATGATCTGTTTGCCAGCTGTTTGTTTGATGGACAGTCTTGTGATGCAAGGTGAATTGAACTTCTAATACCTTTTTAAAATCCATTTATAAAGCAGTAACAAACACCACAGCCATTTTCCTACATTTTTTTGAATCAGGCCATGTCCCTAAAGAAGCTTAATGTGAAGCCAAAGACCTGGAGAAAATTCTATGTTGTAAAGGGATATCCCTTTTATATACATTACAAATGATTTAGGATATTCTGAAAGATCTGGTACCAATTAGAACCGTTTCGGTTAAAGTTTATCTATAGACAACATTTTTTTCAGTTTCGGATAGAGTAAGGAATGATTGAAACGCTTGTGATTTTTTTTTACACTCTATGTGCCATTGGGAAAATCTCCATTCCCTTTCTGTCCTGGAGATTCAATAGAAAGTTGGAGGAAATGTCCCCAATGTGAAAGGAAAATTGTAGAAATGTCACCAGCACACCAATCCTTTTAAGATAGTAAAAGCTTAATTTATTGAAGTTTTTTGTCATATGACCAAACAATGTGAAAGGAAATCCCCTGTTAGACAGTTGTCATTGGAATAGGTATCCCTATTGGAAGACTCCCTGTCTTCTCCTATTCCAGTAATTACTGTTAGTTTTCTCACTACTTTCTGTCCTGATAAGTGTCCCAATGGTCACCAGGACAAACTGTGAAGGTGATGACAGAGACAGCAATAAAAAACATGTATTAACAGTTTAATAAGAGCACCAAACATACAAGAAAAACTTAATTCAAGTCAAGAAAAATATATAACAGCCACTGCGTTGCGGGGGACGTACAAATTCACCCTTCATCAGGGTGGTTTAAAAGGATGAAGCTCTAAGGCCTCATTCACACAGCTAAGTGTCGGCCCGTACAGATCTGTGCAGCGTGCTCGGCCATATCGGGCCACTCCTGGGAAGGACAGGCAGTGTGAATGATGTCTAAAGATGATATAGTAGGGGGCGTGTCCAAGATGGCGACCGGAGCACACGTGTAGTAACTGTGCTCCGCCACCTATCCTACTATCTTGATTATTTTCTGCCCCGTGGAGCGCTCGAGTGGACGGGGACTGAGCCCAGACCAAGCCCTGATCCCCGGGGTATGTCTCGGGGGCGCCGGAGGTCATCTACGAGCCGCCCCGCTACTCCTAAGACCCCGCCGGCCCGCGGACTGAAACTGTCACGCGCCAGAATGGCATGCATCCGGAGACTCGGGACTACACCTGCCATTCAGCATCCCATAGGTCATTCTCGCGAATCGACCTATGCTATGTTAGTGGAGAGATAGTGCTCCCGCCTGCATCGCCTGAGGGGTGATCCGGGGGGGTCGGATTGTGGCTTTGTGAGCTGGGGGGGAGATAAGAGACGTGGTTGATCTGAGTGGTGCTCCTTAGAACACTCCCCCCCTGCCTCTGGAAGTAAGCATAATCCTATGTTTGACTATCGGTCCTCTTGCCCTGGGTTTCTCCCCCCCCCCCTTCCCTTCTCTCCTTAGCCAACTCCGCCCTTCTGAGGCTGACCTGGTCTTCCGTTCCCCTCTTCTCTCTTTTTCCCTTTTTCTCTCCCCTTCTCTGCTGGACTGCTTCTCCCCCCTGCTCCCATCCCCCCTCCTCCTATTACTCCTCTCTCTAACCCTATGGAGGCTTGCCCTCAGTGGCTGGGCTGACCCTGGGGTTCAATTCAGTAATGTCCCGGGCGCTGAGTGTACTGATCCACAAATCGATTTATTTGGATGTATTTGTATCTTTATTTTTTGAGTTACCATTATTGTATTGTCTTGTATTGACTGCTGGAAATGCTGTGTTCAGAAGGTCGATCTGTAATTGTCATTGTCTTTTTGTGATTGTCTTTTTTGTATGAAAAAATTCAATAAAAGTTTTACCTGTTAAAAAAAAAAAGATGATATAGTAACCAGGGATATTTTTAATGGTGTGGATGTCAAAGAAGAACTCACATTTGCATGGCGAGAAGATACATAAAAAACAAAAAATGTTTTCGGCTTTAGATATACTTTAAGCGCTGCCTTTTGTATGTTGCTGCTTTTTGGAGGTTTGAGTCTCTTTGAGAGGATGAATGGCAGCCCAATAACACCTATATCTTCGAGGAGTTAACCTGCTAGCACAGCCATGGTAATAGGGAAATAGTTAGGAGGTATGCAGGGCATGTGTAGGTCTTATGCAAGACACTTCTGTAAAACACTTACGCTATATAACTAGAAGAACCAAATACAGTGTTTAGCTACCACGTGTTTTTCTTTCTCATTGCATTATTATCTTTCATATGTAGTGCTCCAGCTGCAGCCATATAGAAATCCATATATACCAGGGCCAATTTCACCTCATATAGTCTTTCACAATTTGCCTATTTTTATTTGCCTAGCGCAATGTCTTACTTGCAAAGCAACTGGTTATTCCTTCTAATTACTACTGGAGTAAAGATCATTAGAGTTGTGGTCCACGGCAACCATAAGGCCTTGTTCACACCAAGCGCGGAGCAGGTGCAGAGCAGAGCAGTTACAGACCGGATCAAAACTGCGTCCAATATATTCCAATGGTATTTTTTGCTTCAGTTCACTTTGCAGCGTGCAGTCCCAGAGCAGGTCCAATGTGAAAAAACTGAGGCAAGCCCTATTTTACCTGCTCTGGACATGCTCTGGAAAGCATGCAAACGCATCAAAAACGCATGCAAATGCCTGGAATGCACTGAAAGCACATGTTAAAGTAAAAAAAAAAACGGCCTGGAAAGTATTAAAACGCGGCAAAAAACGCGGGGGAAAAAACCGTGTGCGTGTGCAGAAACCTGAGCGGATCTGCTCTGCATTTGGTGTGACCAAGGCCTTAGATGTAGCTAGAACTTAAAAATGACTGCAGGGCTGATTGGTTATAGAAAGCACAGGCATTTCTTTCCATTCGAGCTAAGACAAAATGCTTTGTAGATGGAAAGCACAAACACAGATTGGGAAGCAGTGAGAAATCTCAGCTGGCTAATCTATTAAATCATCATGTTTGCTGGACCTCAGACATACCTGACCAGCTTAACCTAATGCTGATATAAATAACAGTAAGTAATTCATATACTGTGATATATCACTGACTTTACATACTAAGTGTTTAGACATGAGCGGCAGGCACTGACTAATCGATAATGAGAATAGTTGATAACTATTCTCGTAATCGATTAGTTGGTTGCAGCCCTAGTTATTACCTGTAGTTAATGCAGATTAATGCAAATATTGTTCGCATCTTAGGATTAAAACATAACTGCATCTGAAACTGATATTAAGATTTTGTGTGGACACTGACAAATCAAACCACAAACTTTATGTAGTTCATTCATTTATATGTGTCAGCAAGCAATTTACAGTGTATATAGTTAAATCTCATTGGTCCCTGCTACCCAGAGGAGCTTACAGTCTAAAATCTACTGCAAGAGAAAATAACTAATAATTTCAACTGTTAATTGTACTGTAAAGCAATTGTGTGCCAGCAGTGAAACCCCCAAACTTGAGTGGCCAGTCTTACCAATTTGTAACAACAGTCATGCTTTTATTTACTATGTGATATAGAGGATACAGAAGATAAAATTAGACTTCCTCACTTTGCTTCATATTGGGCATGGTGAGAGAAAGAGTTGCCAATTTTATTAGGCTGATATTGCCTAGAGATAATACAAGCCCAGTGAGTGATTCAACTAAAAGCTGTCCAACTATAGTTGAAGCATCAGTTTTGGGTTAACTGACCTTTGAATTAAGACAGAAAAGCTAATGAAAAAATATTATTTCCAATACAGGGACTTCACTCTATTTACTCACCCTCTGTACGGCAATTGCTATACCTTCAATGATGCATCAAGAAAGGAGCTGTTTGTGTCTTCCATGGGTGGAGCAGAAGCTGGTAAGAATTCAGTCCTATAGATATTACACATCTGGGTTTTACTGTTAGACATTTTATTATGTCTGTAGGAAAGTTAGCCAAACCATTGACTTCCAGTTAGAAATCAGCAAATATAGATAGACCTAATCTAGGTTTCTAAGTAAACATGTGGGTTAAATGAAAGTCCAGTTAAACTTTCACAGCTTCCTTCACAGCCTGTGTCCTACCAGCATGTTGCACAGTGGTACCCGGTAGAGAAGCAGTGAACTCTTTGCAGAGGTCCAACATACCCCCTACTGAGTCAGAGACAAAGCTGTCCAATCAGTGAGCCTGAGCTTTGCTGATTGCAGAACTATTGGTTTGACTTAGTAGGAGTCATGCCAGACCTCTACAGTGAATCCAATGCCTGCCTACAGAGGGAAAGAGTCCCGCTCTTCATCCTCTGAAAGAAGACAGGTTTTTTTTTACCTAGATTGTGACTACTGTAGAAAGAAAACAAATGGTAAGACATAAAATGCCTCGTGTTTTGATGCACCTGGAATAATTGTAACATATTTAAACTGAAGGTTTTATTGGGCTTTTAAAGATCATAAAGAGGTGTAACCATATACAAGCTTGTCTTTAGTTCAGCTCTTTAATTATCACTCAACTGTTGGGAACCCAACTTCATGTGATGTGTTTATCCTGGCTCTATTTATGGTAATCATATAATTGTTTCTGTTAGAAACCCAGCTTTTCATGTGTGGCGTCTATCATGCCCATATTTTTGGTAATCATATAATTGTTTCTGTTGGAAACCCAACTGTTCATGTGATGCATCTATCATGCCTCTGTTTATGATAATCACATAATTGTTTCTGTTGGAAACCCAACTTTTCGTATGATGAGTCCATCATGCCTCTATTTATGGTAATCACATAATTGTTTCTGTTGGAAACCCAACTTTTCATGTAATGTACCTATCATGCCTCTATTTATGGTGCTCACATACGTAATTGTTTATCTTTCTTTAGGGCTGAAGCTTGTTATACACATTGACGAAGATGAATATAACCCCTTCCTGGTGGCAGCAGCTGGTGCCAAAATATTAGTCCATGACCAGAATGATTATCCATTCATTGAAGAGTCAGGGACTGAACTTGAAACAGCAACTGAGACATCTATTGGGATGCAGCTGGTAAGTGAATGTCAGAGTGAACAGAATGTTTCTGTTACAGTTTTCCTGCTCTGGAATCTCAACCTAACCAACATAGGCTTTTAGTTCACATGCTGAATATCTACATTTGGCAAAATTAGGTCTAGACAACTTGTGTGTCAGTTCTGATATTTGTAAAAAGGACTGCTCGGGACAAGGTTAGGTATGCCATCCAAAGCATAAGAGTCGGAAAGTGTATTGTAGAGTAGTAAGATGGAACCCCTTCTTTTATAGCATGGGGTTATTCAGGACTCAGAGGACCGGGTGAGCATAACCTTTTAACACCTAGACAAAAACAAGCACTTAACTCTTGCAGTGCAAGGGTAGCCGCACTGCAAGGGTTAAGAACAAGAACAACAGAGCTCTGCTTTAAGGTAACTCTGCATTGTAGCTGTGGCATTATTATAAATGTTCAGTAGATGTTTATAGAGAAGAACTTGTAAAAGAAAATATTCTGATACCATTTAATTTTGATTTCAGACAGAGTCATCAAAGTTAAGTAGCCCCTACAGCGAGTGCACCCTTGATGGAAGTGATGTCCCTGTCCCGAATCTCTACAACAAGACGTACACTTATCAGGTATGTGTATGTGGTTAAAATTGTTCTTTAATAGGTAGAATGTGGAGAGGTGACACTGTAATCCAAAAAGCCCAATGAGGAATAGGAGTTAGCCAGGCTGTGCACTGTAGTGGACATGTGTCAATCACAAGACTGAACAGAGCTACAAATTCTTTGGCAGGTGGATTGTTGCATGTGTATTTTTACTGCATATTTAGCTGTTTGCCTAGAGCTCAGCCTTAAAATCTCTAAAATAGATTTTGTGGCATGATTCTCCATTCCTGGGAAATTTAAAGTAACACTAAACTCATGAGATAAATCTAAAAAATGCATTCAAGTACTTTAACTATTAACAAAAATGTACCTTATTTGTGTATCACTCGGCTGCGGATCCTCAAATCATCTCTGAATTGGTGTTGACACTGTCCTTTCTTCTGGAGGGATGCTTCTTTTGTTCCCCATGGTTCCTGTGTGTGTTGTAATGTAGCCACCCCTCCAAGCGCACCACCATGATCGACTACAATCTCATATTTAGTTAGCTAATTTGTATTGAAATTATAGTCTATCATGGGAGCGAGTTTGGATCTACGACAATTAAATTTCACAGATTATATTGAGTTTATTTTACACCTTTTAGGTATAGGGTTGTTGATAATTCACATTCAATCCATACATGTATTAAAATTTGGTATTTCTTTCCCTCTGCTAGATCTGCATCTATTCCTGCTTCCAGCTTGAAATGGTAAACACTTGTGGTTGCGCGCATTACGACCAGCCCCTTCCAGAAGGAGCAAACTACTGCAATATTGAACAATATCCAAGCTGGAGTAAGTTTTATCTCTGGTGTCTAATTGAATTATTGTGGGTGATGTTAATTTTTTGTTTTATCTTTCGGCAGTTTAAACATTTCTGTAAAAATATCATCAAACAAAAAAAAAATCATTAATATTCAGCATTTTTAAACCACTGCAGTACAAATCTAGTGGCATATAATGGTTTTGCATGCATACATGCCAGAGGAGTACAGCAAGCATACTTCAATACACTATTCACGCATGGCAGCGTAGATAAATTTACATTTTCTGTACACGTGGGAAGGTTTATACACGTGTCAAACAAATCAAAACTGAATTACTCAATGCTAAGGAAAGGAAACGATAATAATTAAATACATGTAGCAGCTAGTTCAAGAAAGGAACTCCCTCCTCAATTTCCAAAACCACAAGCGAGTTTAATGTACCTATTAACAGCACAGTTGACATGTACAGTATATTAAAATTACAGGTTTTTACATTTGCTGATGGAACTAAAATAGCACAAATGTAATTTTACTCCATCACAGTGTGTATAGGAAGGTTCAATAGTTATAGTCATGCATAATCTAGGTTTAGCGTTGGTATCAATTCTTGCACCTATGGTATTGTGGCTGTTCCATATTGTTCCATTTTCTGGCAAAGATTGCTCTTTGGATATAAGAACATGAGATATCAGGAATCTGTGTGTTTAATGAAATGAATTGTTCATACACAACAAGACCAGTGCTGAGTCTGGTATAGTTCAAGTTGGAGCCCCCCTCCCTTCATAGTGAGACTTACAGATCCTCATATGTTATTTGTATAGGTTTAGGCCCTATTTTTGTTAGGTCCCACACTACTTTGAGCCAATCTGAAGCTAAGCAGTTCCTGCAAAATCATCCAAAATTCAATCTGTGGGTGGCTGCATAACTTGTATGGCTAGCCTACTTCTGAGCTTTTGACATCAATGAGATATGATAATGACTCCCCTGAACATAGTAATAGGCCACAAAATGGCTGATTCATTCTGTAGTATTATAGAATAAACTATTGTGTTTTTGCCATCTGCATTAGGAAGGAACCTGAGAGAACTTGAGTCTTGAGAACTTGAAAACATATTTTTTTCTGTGTCCCCCTGCTTTCTTTACACGGTTTAATTTTTTTCAGAAACCTGACTGGCTTTCACTTACATTGCTTATTTTTTGATTTCTTTTAGTTTATTGTTACTTCAAATTACATAAAAGTTTCGTCCAGGAAGAGCTGGGATGTCAGGAAAAGTGTCGCGAGTCTTGCAGGTGAGAACATTCTAACTCTCTGAGATGGGAAGAGGGGCACCTTTTAGAACAAACTATGTAGGCAAAAGAAAGATCCCTTCCACATCCCAATTTACGTGGACCATGAACAACTGATACGCAAAAAAGAATTGTCCACAAGTGCATTTTCAGCACTAGTTTTCTTTTAGATTGGCTCTTCAAAATAGCAAAAGCGACAATTTAGTGGTTGGTTAAAGAGTTTAATGAATAATAACACTTTTGGTAATTAAATAATACATCGTTATAGAGGTTTATATACAAAAGACATAAAGACCTTATTCACATCGGACGTGTTGCCCCGTACAGCGTTAAGGGCTGTTTTTGTTTGCGCCCAAAGCTGTGAGAAAAAGCGAGGGGGCAGCTCATGTAAGTTGGACGGCCACACATGAATGGTGTATGGTCTTGAAAACAGACACAATGTATCCAAGTCCATACACTGTCTGTGTGTGGCTTTCAAAATTCAGAGCTGTGGGAAGCAGAAAGTGAGGTTTCACAGCTCCTGTGTCACCATAGACCTACATGAAGTGCCCACAGCTTCTTCTCGCATCTGCGGGGCATCAACAACCAGCTCTTCATGTTGTACAGGGAAACACACCCTGTTTGAATGAGGCCTGAAGAAGAACAACTGAGGAATGAAGATGGATTGAAGGATTTGGTTCCAATTGGGGGACACTCATTGAGCAGTGAATGACAGAGATATCACGGTACATAGAGCTATTTAATGACCATAGAAATGGTAGCAGTCTGCCTCTACAGGGCACTGCATTCTGTGTGAGAATAGCAGCCAGACTATCCTCTGTATTGCTAGCACTGAGCAGCTAAAACTAAAGTAAGGCATATTATTATTGTCTATGTGGCCTGACATCATTACAGTAATAAGCCAAGTAAGTTAATTTGGGCTTTGAAGGATCACCAGCAATCAATGTAGCTAATAATGTAGCAATAAATTATAAGCATGCTATTTGTTCTACCGGTTGACAGTTTATTTTCAGATAGATAGGACTGAGCATATTCTCAGATCAAATTAAACTCTGTTAGGCGCCCACTTATAAAACGCTCTGTCCATTTTCAAGAAATTAGTTTTCTTTTTTGTACCAGAGAGGGAGACTTGCCATTATAGTAGATGGGGCTTATCAGAGTGGATGGGGCTTACTTTTACCATTTGACAAATATCACACTGTGCTCATACCATACAAACTGTGTATTGTGACTCCAGAGCATGCTGTTGACCTGCATTGTATTTAGAAGAAAAGGTAACAAGTTCAACAACCAACCTATCAAATGCAACACAACACTTCTCTGAGCTAACAATCATCCTGTAGTATGCAAAACACAATGAGGTTCATTTATAAAAGCTCTGCCCATTGTATAGCCAGGCAGATGCTCCTAAATGGCACTGACAGGTATATACTTGTCAGGTATAGACTTATCAGCTCTATCTAGGGGCACTAGTGCAGTGTGAACATACAGCTTTTATGAATGGACCCCAGTGGAACAAATGACAAGCTCCAGCTCAGCTTGTTAGTCTGGTGCATGATACTTTTGATCTCTCCCAGAGACTTCTCTGATTACTGTTACTCTTATGTTTACCTGACAGCAGCTCTTATATTGCATTGGAGGAAATTGCAAGTTCTAAATTGTTTGTCATTTTTCAGTTTTAAAGAATGGACATTTAGAAGGAGTGCGGCAAGCTGGCCCTCAGCGAAATCAGAGGTAAGTTCATGTCAGATTCTTGTTGAATATATTTTATGAAAAGCCAAACTCCATCCCAAACTTTTTGGGACAGGTCAGATTTGGTATTTAATTGTCAGCTGTGTCCTTATTAAGGGGAGTTTCTCCTCACTTCCTGTCCTAATTGTAGAATTCAGACAGATTAGAACTTCTTCTGTCCCAATGATAAGCGCACAATAGCACCAGTCAGGCCCAAGCAACAGACTTGTTTTAGGTCTCCTGCACATGCCATACAGAATGCTGCATTTTTATCAGTACAACATTTGTATTATTACTGCTCTGAATGCAGTTGCATTGTTTTGTATGAGCTGATGCTTGCCAGCGTATAATGATCAATAAACTTGCGATGCGTTCATATCTGTAAAATCATTTAGGAATTGAACTAGAATTGTACACATCCAAACACTGTGCACACCTTTACGCATCTATACTTGTGTAAATGCAAGCACTTATAGACTAATTCATGCATTTTTTAATGCCAGAAACATCTGCCAGCACTCTCCCGCATAGATCATCAGTATTTAATTATGGCAGTGTGCATGAGCCCTTAATGTAGCCTTAGGCTCTATTCACAGCTATGCTATGCTGAAGCGCATGGGATGCCGTACACAATCCAACATTGTATGTTGCAATGTGTTGTATTTCTTAATGACACTCCAATGCACCTAGCCATTGCATGTGTGTTGTATTGCACCACATTGCAATCGTAACCTATTACCATGTGATGTGGTGCAATGTGATTTTAAAACAAAAGTGCATGCACTTCTTGCGATTTAGCAAGGGTGGGCAGCCCATTCAAATAAACCGCAGAGCACTACAAGTGCAACCTGAAGCACCTCTGTGATGTTGCATAGCAGAGGGATGAGCGCTTACTCAGCAGCTTCTACTCCCCACTGAGCTGAAGGAAATTACCTGCTACCTCCTTGTATCTAGGTGCATGTGACTCCATGTAATACACCAGTGGACTAATCAGCTCACACATGTTCCATATCACTGTGTAAGCTATGACTGTTACTTAGCTCACACAGCTTACTTTTGGCTGAATGGAGCATCGAAGGAGTGTAAGAAAGGCATGTCCTGCTGAATGGGGGGAGATAAAGTGAACCTGTTGCTTTTCCCTGCATGCGTAAATCCCAGATTCACTTTAACTTCTTTACAGCTGCCATATGCAAGCTTAATGCTGGGATCAATGCTTTAACGGCACTCCTTTCAACATACAGTAAAGTCTTTATAACTGATATAAATAATGTCAATGATGTCAATGCCTACTTTCTTGCAGTAGAGTCACATCTGCGCTTCTTTTTTTTTTATCAGGAGTGGACAATGCGGATTTTTTCCTGGGAACTTGCAAGCAAACTCAAGAAAAACCTAACAAAGTAAGTCTGATTAGCCACTCAGCCCTCTAATGTACTTTCATTCTTTTCTTTGGTATAGGTCATAACCATATAAGTGTATTGGGTGTATATTTACAGGACATGCTGACCAAGACATTTGTTAAAAAGTGCTACTATTGTTGTTCGTAGTTAAAAGATCCAGTATGGTAATTGTGATATATGCTTTATAGAAAAAAAACTAAATAAAAATTAAAGCATTTTTTCCAAGATGTCCAGATATAACTGGGCACATTTTTCCCATTTTTCCCTCACCAGTAACCAAAAAGACGTAAGGGAATCTGTAAAATTATTTCAGAAAAGAGAATCATGTCTACTTATTCAGGAGAACCCTTAATGCAGCGTTGTGTTTGAACTATTGTAACAGAGTACTCTCAGCTTTTCTTTAGATCTGTACAAATAATCACTATCTGTAACCTTCTGTGCCCATAGCCAGACACAAAATCAAATAAAAATGTTTGCCCTTCCCTCCTATTTCTGTTGCCCTTGATGGTCACTCATTCATTTATCACCTTTGACAATTTTGCCCTGTATTTTTGGTCTTATTGATGGAATCTTCCAATGCTGCAACCATTATATCTTTGTCTGCTGTTATTCTGTCCTCATTTTAAAGGCTAAGTTTACTTTTCAGACCTTGTTTCATGTTGCACCCATATTTAGGGTGTAATATATAACATGGTCATATCACCAATCTCCCAACCCCACCCCCCCAAAACACCTACCTAAATCGGAGATTTCTGTAATTTTTTGTATATTGGTTGTTTTAAAATTCCTATATGGAGTAAAAGGATGAGGGTGCGTTCATCCTTTCGCTCCATTCACTCCATACAAGCTTATTTTCTTAGGGGCCCCGTTGGGGCTCCACCAGGCAACAGAGAGCTGCCACATTTCAGCAATCTTTTGATTTATTCAGAACCTACTCCAAGCTTCCTAATCCTAGAATCCATACAAATATAGAATTTCAGTTTTAGGGGATGCTTTCAGAAAAGATTTCCTAGTCTCTGTGAGATACTCTCTTTTAATTTTAAAAGTCACTTAGTTTTCAGACTTTCATGTTACCTACATACTGAATCAATGAACCAATATTGTTATCATCTAACAAATGAGTGATCCCTTTTGCTCTCTTTTTTTTAGATATGACTTGGCAAACCTCGTCTTATTTTACCATGACCTGAACCTTAAAACGATAGCCGAGAGCCCTTCCACCAGTGTAAGTAAAATATGAATTATACCTAATTGACTGGCCAGTGTCGCACATTGTACAAGGCTATTGCTTGTTTGTACGACTGTTGCTCTTCAAACGTCATCTGTAAACAACAGGTTTTGACAATTTTTTTTTGTCTTAGTTTTTTGAATGTGTTAGAGAGTAAAACTACATAACGATCTCTAACACAGTAGTTCTCTGGGACTCTGCTGGTAAGATTCTTGCTTGAATTTCAGGCCTCCTACCAGTGTCACATTCTGCAATGACACTGCTTGGCCATGCCATTATTATTAATATGACATTGGCCTGGCACACTTGAAGCAGCAGATGGGATCACAACATGATATAATGAAGGCAAGATTTTATTTGTACGGAACTTGATGCACAGAACAGTATTTCCATGCTGATGGGATAAACATACAAAGATATATCAGGTGACTTCCTCAAGATGTCTTACATGGTGCAAATTCCAAAAACAGTCCCATCTTTGATTGTAAATTAAGAGGTTTTTTTTAGGAAACTCCCCAAAAAAAGCTAGTGGAGGTTCTCATCTTATCTCATGGCCTCTTGGTTTCTGATGCTTAAACAGACTCTGGGAAAATCGGACATTAATATTAGACATTCCTATACTTTTTCCAGGGTACATTATAACAATAGATAGCTATTGTCTGTAAAGGGAAGATGTGAGATTATCCAGAGCTGTTTGGAAGGTGTTGTAAGTGCCAATGGAATAACTTCTGTTATTAATCTCTTCTTACAGATTCCTAACCTACTGGCTAACTTTGGAGGTCAGCTGGGCCTGTGGATGAGTTGCTCTATGGTCTGCGTCCTAGAGATTGCAGAGATTTTTCTCATTGACTCCTTCTGGGTGGTCATGCGTCAGAAATGGCATAAATTCATCAAATGGTGGAAGAATCGCAAGGGTAAAACAGAAGAATCCTCTGACCAGCCTGCTGGAGTTACACATGTTTATGACAACCCTTGTCTAACAGATGAAGATCCACCAACATTTAACTCAGCTCTACAATTGCCTCAAGCTGAGCCCATGCAAGTACCTAGAACACCGCCACCTTTGTATAGGTCCCTACAGCTAGACCCAAATTTCAATGAGTTGCCTATAAATGAAGAAGATGTGACTATAGAATATATGTAAGAGAATTCTGAAGAAAATTACTTTGAATTCTTACACTGAAGAAGCCATAGTTCAAAAGGAGTGAAAGATGAAGCTAAAATGTTCAAACGTTCTTGATAGTAAATGTACTTTTTGGTGCTTCATTGAAATTCAATGTAGACTTTTGATCCCTCACAATGTGCCACAACTGAGTTGACAAGTTTTCACTGGCTGTTATTGTTGCTCAGTCATATAAATATTGGTTATTAAATAATTGTATATAATGCTGATTTTAATTTCACAGCTAGGTATTTCAATGCCCAAATGAACCTTCAGTTTAAATCAGCTTAATACATTCCATGTGCATCAAAGCAAAAGGCTTGAGCCTGAGTAGGAAAACCTGTCCTCTGCCAGCAGCTGCTTGCTCTCTGCAGGGAAGCAGTAATCTCTCTGCCGTGGATTGACACACCCCTGTTGGGTCAAAGCCAGAACTCTCCAATTAGCAGGCAGCATAATCTATGCTGATTGCAGATCTATAGGTCTGACTCAGGCTCTGGCTGCTTTGGAAAGAAAATGAACTGTTAGACATTGAACAATTTTTTTTTTAATGCACCCGGATTGTATTTAACTGATTTGAACTGAAGGTTTCGGTTGCGCTTACATTTATATGAGCAGTTGTAGTAATATAGGGGGACACTAATGCCTAGGTGTAGTCTAGTTTTAAATAAATTGATAGTCCACCATTTTGTGCTGGTTTGACTTAAATGCCATATTTTATCTTTTAATCATTGAGTTGTTTTTAGCTGTTGTCAGTGTACTATATTTTCAGGGAGAACTGTTTTTTGTGGCCTGATATACAATAACTCAAAGCTGTTCTCTGAATAAGAAGACATATAATACAGAGAGCAAAGCCAATGACTAAAAAGCTTAGAAGCCAAAACACACTATAGCAATAGATTTAGCATAAACTGAAAGAAACAATATATACCTTATGTGGTGGCGTCAGAGAAATCCTCTGGTCTGCATGGAGTGGTCACAAAGTACAAAATAGATTTGAACCTAGTCATTAAAATGTCATTAAAGTTGTAATATTTTATTGTAATTACAAAAGTTGTTTTCAGTCTTTGTAAATCTGCAGTTTTCATTAAAAGAATAACAGTTCACCTTTAGGCAGGTCCAATTAAAGTTGAATTATGGGAAAGCGAATTACACTCATTCCTGTAAGAGCCAATGTGTGAAACTGAAGCATCAGCTCTATTGATCGGGAACTGACCGATAACAGGCAACTGATCGCTCAGTTCCCGATCTTCTCCCTGCAGAGACTGGGGACTGTCAGTCACCGTTCCCCACAGGGATTCTCCCCTCCCTTCTCTGTTCCTCCAGTGCTGATTGGAGGGACAGGCAGGCAAGGGGGTGGGCACAGCTGGCTCAGGCTCTAGAGAGGCAGAGCTAGCTGTCAATCAGGCAGTGGGGTGGATTGTCAGGATCCGTCCCGACTGCAGCGCGGCTCTGCACTGTCAGCATATAGCATGCAGTAGCTGGCTATATACTGAGTTTTGGGTCAAATGAGGACATTAGTATATGTCCTCCTGTGATCCTAAAGAGAACTATGATAAAAAAACAGGTTTGGCCATAGTTCTCTTTTAACCTTCTATTGACACTCCTGACATGCAGAAGCTTCCAATAAACACTGCTCTAGAAAGTATAAAGAATATATAGCTAATCATCAGATCATTCAGCATACCAGCAGTTTCTCTGGGAAGGTTTGAGGAGAACATGGCGATAATGGTTCAATACTCTCAAAGTGACTATGCACTGTATGATATCAGTTTAACCCAGCTGAGTCCATACTTAATCCTACTCAGGGATATTGCCCTGTACATATCACTATATAAGTGTTCCAATGAAACCCCCCTTTGGAGACATATATTATTGGTAGTCTCGGTCACTTAATGCTATTCAGTGCTTCCAATAGAGCTGATCATTCTTCAGTGTGGTGAATGAGGTGATTTTATGACTATAGGTTTTGTTCTGTCTTTAAAGGCCAATTTAATAGACTAGAGTTGGGTAGGATAGGGTAGGGTCTTGAATGAGCTAGTTTTGTTCAACACAAGCTAAACTGAGGTTAACCAACAATGAATGCAAACTTTAGTGTTGGGCAGGATGCATGTGAATTAAAGGAAATTAAAAGACCATGGTTGGGTTCTATCATGGATTCAATCGGTGTATACTATAGATGCTTACAATAGATATTCCAACAGATGCTTTCTAGTGCATATTAAAGTGGAACTCAAGGCAGATTAAAAAAAAAACCTGAGGTTAAGTTATTCAAAATGTCATCTGCTAATTAATACAGCTACTATGATTCCATAAAGCATGACTCCATGGTCTGGTTACACAGAATAAGCTGGAAGTTGGGGAGATCTGCTGGCACTGAATTGTGTGCCCATGTTCTATACAGTTTGGCAAGGATATGAGTTCTTAAAGTGTCTAAGCTGAGTTACACACATTTTGGTGCTATGTTTCTAAGCATTGGGTTTTTGGACTTGTGTTGAACTGGATGGACCTGCATTTTACTCAACCTTGACTATGTAACTTGACTATGTAATGACTATGTAACAATGAATTTAGCTATTTGTCCTGCATTCTGCTTTAATGAGTTCGTTAATCAATTGAGCTGTAATCAACTAGAAGTGAACCCCTGCTTAAACTAATACAAGCGTGAACAGATTTCCTGTGGACTCAAACCCCATAGCTGACATTGCATCATATTACAGAAAGGATTTGTCTTACATGAACCTACCTATTCCTTAAGTCGTTAGCTGTCCAAAAATTGCCAAATTTGCTATCTTCATGACTATTTGCAACACATTTTACTGACTGGTTTTATGTGCTGTAGGATCCTTGTGCTATGCACAAAATGCTGCTATATTTTATAGAGAGTTTCTAGCCTATTCTGGGGCCTGACAAAGAGGTCAATTAAGATGAACACTGTCCTGTAGCACTACCTTGCACCTTCAGCTTGCCAGCAACATGAATGTACTGTACAGGTTAAGCATTCTTTGTACAATCACTATAAATACATAGATAAAATATATATTTGTACTCTTGTATGTACATATTAAGAGACATATGTGTATATCAGGTTACTATATTTAAGATTGTTTGATGTAAATTTTGTCTTTTTAATAAAATATTCCCATTGAGTGTGATTGTGTGTCCTGGCTAATGGTGAGCAGCAGCCAAATTCTATGATGAAACAATGAGATATACGTATACAAGGAGGACAGATCGCTTTGGAACGAGTTTTCATTCAGGTATTGCCATGGTACACCAGTCTACCCCACTACCTTTAGTCAGTAATTTAATGATCTGAGAACCCCTGTCTGTGAAGCAGGTGAGCTATTCCCAAACACACCCACTGCAGGATCTTTGGTGTCTCTTACATACAGTAAGCCTGGCTTAAATAAATGTCAGCACTAAGAATTTTTCACAACTACTATTCCATTGTCTTGGAACTTAAAATGTGAATGGTAATACAAGAAGCAGAGAATGTAGATGTACAGATGTGTGAAAAGGTGTTGGCCCCCTTCCTGATTTCTCATTGTTTTGCACGTTTGTCACACTTTAATGTTTCAGATCATCAAACAAATTTAAATATTAGTCAAAGATAACACAAGTAAACACAACATGCAGTTTTTAAAAGGAAGGTTTTTATTATTAAGGGAAAACAAAATCCAAACCCACATGGCCCTGTGTGAAAAAGTTTTTGCCCCCTAAACCTAATAACTGGTTGGGCCACCCTTAGCAGCAAAAACTGCAATCAAGCGACAAACGTACGATCTGCCTATTTTGGACAGGCAGATCGTACTCTCGATCATCGCAAGCCCACAATGCTGTCTTTTAAAAACTGCATGTTGTGTTTACTTGTGTTATCTTTGACTAATATTTAAATTTGTTTGATGATCTGAAACATTAAAGTGTGACAAACGTGCAAAACAATGAAAAATCGGGAAGGGGGCCAACTCTTTTTCACACAACTGTAAAACGGCACAGGCTTTGCAAGTACATGGTACTATTCCAAAGAGTGATTGAGCAGTTCACACACATACTAAAGTGTATGTAAACCCAACATTTGTTGTCCAGTAAATTTGGCACAATGCCTCACAGTTTTCTTAAGCAAATAATGTTTATGTGAATCTGTTGCAAAGTTGCATACCTATTAATCCTGCCAGTAGCAGCACTTCCTGTTGTAGGCTGACAACACAGACCAATTTCCTCATTCTTAGCAGCAGCGTTGTCAGTCTGCCATGACACACCTTTAGTTGGCCAGTGGACTGCTTGTCAGATCTGAAGGAGACATGCACAGACCTGATAGACAGCCCAACGACCAACTGAAGTAGTGTGCATAGCAGGCAATGGCTTAGAATATTCAGCCTCCAAAGGGAAGTGCTGTTACTGGCAGGATCTACAAGTAAGAAACTTTGCAACAAATTTAAAGATAATTTACTTGACCAAACACAATAAATTATGGAAAATTATGTTTCTTAATCTGATTTGCAGACTAAAGAACAAGGATAATCTGAGTTAATCCACAATTTGCATATCATGGTGCCAAAAAAGTATTTAACTGGATTCCATCATTTAAACATATGGTGAGCCCTAGAGAATGATTTACTATAGTTCTTGAGACCAATTCAGAGTTGGGCAAGATGTAGCGCTTCTATGTTACATTGCCTCATCTGTATCATTTGTTAATTCATGTATTGTATCATTTGCAAGATGTGAAGGAAAGTGTATTGTATACTGTATGGGTTCAGGGGGATTGAGGAATAATAGTGTAACGTGGTGTACAGAATTCCCCCAGAAATGGTGTACAGCAGTGAGCAAAACGCCCCCAGAAATGGGATACAGAACACCCCCAGAAATGGTGTAGAGTGGTGTACAAAACACCCCCAGAAATGTAATTTCCTGCTTCTGTGATTGGCTGACTAATTTTGATGGACGCCTGCACTAAGAAGGTTTAATTATTATTAAAGGGATGCCGAAACTGCACCTTTCCTCATTAGAACACGGATAATATAATTATATATATATATACACTGAGTGGCCAGATTATTATGACCACCCCATCAGTACTTCGTTGGGCCACGCGATGACTCCACAAGATGACTTCATTGGGCCGCCTCGTGACTCCACGAGATGTTGAAAGGTGATGCCAGGAATCTGACACTGCACTGTTGCCCTTCTGTTGTCTTGTACCAGTCTTGCCACTCTCCATTCTGCCC